TCCATCAGGCATGAAGCATTCACTTCCCTTATCTCTCAGACGACGCGCGGTGGCTTGATGTTCTGGGTAAATGAACTGTCTGTACATCCCTCACACCCTCCGCTCCTCCCGCCTTRTTGTTTTCACTTCCTCAGGCCTGAGATGTTGCTGCACAGACTGTGAAGCCCGAGCTGCTCAGGCGTCTCCCCACTTTGCTGCTCTGCACACCCAGATGCCTCTGGGGGTGCAATTACCAATCCTCACATGCAATCCAGGTCAGCCATGCATATGATCCCCTTTGCTTTTCAACATTGCTTCTGTTTTTTATGCCCCTTTTTTTCTGTTATTAGCAATGACACACTGTGAGGTATTTTGCAGGTATAGAGAAGTTAATAGCCCGGGTCGTTACAGAGACACCTGTCTGACTCGAGCAGCTGATTGCATCGGACCATAGTCCATTTAACTTTGCAGCAGCCCAGGTTTTTTTAGTGCATGTCTTTAGGGTGTGATGTCTTGTTTTGTGGTAACCCGTGCAGAAACTTTTTTCTCACAATAAAACACACGAGACGCTGCACACCTGTCTCATAAAGAGCCATTGAAGAAAACAACACAGAAGAGTTGATTTGAAAGTTTCCATCCAGCTTTTTTATTAAGGTGCAGACAGGCAACTCTTCTGAATCATACAAACAGGACAACCACATGTCTGTACTCTTTAGTTTGATTATAATTTACCATTCATTCTAACAAGTTGTTCGTCTTTAGGCTGATTATTATTATTATTATTATTATTATTATTATTATTAGTGTGTCAGTATTTTCGATTTGAATGATTTCTTGTACGGATTTCAAGCATTTTGTCAAAAGTTGTGTGAGAGATCTTTTTAGTGGGAGGGTTTCATTTATCAGAGCTGGTTTTGGAGAGCAACAATGCACCCTGAGGGTCAGAAGAAAKCCTTTGGACTATAACCATTCAAACCCCAATGCCCTCCAACTAAAAGCAGCTTTAAAATAAATCGATTTAAACCAACTTTTCAGTCATGAATTTTGAAGTCAAAGGAAATCTTTCTCCACACATTTTGAGCTCAAGTTTTAATTCTGGGTTCGTTATCCTAATGATTAGACTGACAGAAACAGACAGGATAAATAATAGAAAACTTTTAATGGATCTTTTTAACCAATCTGGATCAATTTTTTCCAAAGTGTGAGTTTATAAGTTAAACTTTCACCAAGTATCTGTGTGTTCAAGCAGTCCAAGACTTGTTAAAGTTGCRGTTACTATATCTTATCATTAAAAAAGGCAAAAATTAAAAAAGATTAACTACTACAACATCGAACTTAGCTCCATATCTATWCAATTAAATGAATTATYGACAATTTTGTGTTGGCTACTMTTGACAAGCTGTAGCAGCCYTKTTGAACTGYATTGCCTCCAAAACATAATCAGTTGTAGATCTACATCCAGTGATTACTTGGGAAAAGTTTCATTCAAATCCATCCAGTGGTTCATGAGCAATTTTGCTAACAGACGGTGTCAACTTAAAAAAAATAATGGCATCATTTTAAACAAAGATCTTGAGCAATTTGTTAATGCTCAGAATATGTGTTGGGGGTCATTTTCAGCTGCTACCACACTGAGTTTAAGAACAATATTTGTAAAATTCACTGATATATAACCATATTTTTGTCTTTTAAGTTTAGTTGGTTGTGGTGGCCATCTTGAATCAGGTTGTCTCTAGAAATAAATGATTTGTAAAGGTACATTTAGTAGTTACTTCTTGKYAGATTCATTAGAATTTGTCCAGTGGTTCATGAGATATTTTGCTAACAGACAAACAGGGATGACTTCAAATAACTGATGGCATCATTTTAAACAAATATCTTGGGCAATTTGTTGACACTCAGAATATGTGTTGGGGCTCATTTTCACCMGCTACCACACCGAGTTTAAGGACAATATCGGTAAAATTCACTGAGTRATAACCATTTTGTTGTTTTTTAAAGTTAGCTGGTTGTGACAGCCATCTTGCATCCATTTGACTGTAAAAGTAAATCAGTTGGAAAGGTTCATCCAATTATTACTTTCTGAGAGATTCATTAGAATTTGTCCAGTGGTTTGTGAGTTATTTTGCTAACAGACAGAGACCCAAGTAAAACATTACTATTCAGCTTTGCCTTTTGGTGTCACGTTATTTAAATATACATCTGAAAACTGGAAGCTGTGGTTCTAATCTGGTCTAAGAGCTTACTTTGTCTACATCAGAGATCACTGCTTGGTATCTRTAAAAGAATTTAAAAAGTGATGCCCATTTCTTTAAATGAGCAAACAGAAACTTCGCAACAAATTTAGTCTGAAATGGAAGATCCGAAGTTAAAAGCAGCAAATAAAAAAAGGGAAATTGTTTCCCTCCTGTTAGGCGGTTTGTAAGCAGCATCTGAAAAACCTTTTGGCAAAAGTGCAACTCTCCTGCACACGGGTCAGCCGGGCTTTTAGAGCTGCAGGAAAATCACCGGCCCTGCCCTCCATCATCCTCTCATCCCGCTGACCTCCACATACGGTATAGTATACTTACAGCACGCACTGAGAGGGAGACGGGCAGAAAAGAGAATGATTGCATATCTGAAGGCTTTAAGAGAGCAGATATGGATGGGAGAGGAGTGACATGGTCGGACACATCTTTGCTTTCTTATTAGTGAGGGCTTGTGCGGACACTTTGGGCCCTTTTTTATGGGGCCATGATGAAACCCCTCTTCGTGCAGCTGCAGAAAATGGCCGGGGGAAATCACAGATGAGAATCACTCCAAGACAGGGAGATGTCAACAGGCCCATAATGATAGCTGATGGGCCCAAGAACACTCTTCCTCTCTCCCCATCTCAGCCTCACCTGCCCAAGTTGCCCAATCCTTGAAAACATAATTAGAGGTAAAACAGAGAGAGACGGAAGCTTTATCTCTCTGTTTTCTGTAAGCAATGCTCTTTGTTTTATACATCTGGGAGTCCTTTTTTTTCTTCTTCCCCCTTCCCAATCTCTCTTTCACTTTATGGACAGGAGGAGGAGGAGGAGAGCTCCTTCTGCGAGACGCCAAGGTGCTCCCAGTCCATTGTGCTGCTGGCTGTCAGGTTAAATTAGGGAGTACAGGCTCCGTGAGTGTAAAAAAATCAATACTTGATGGAAGATTGCTCCCCGGAAAATCTGTTTTGATTCCAGGATTAATTCTTGACCAAAGGCTCCTGCAAAATGACATGCCATTAGCCTGAAAATGAACACATTCTGCAGTGGAAATTGGATGGAAATGTGTCAGGTGATTGCCCCGGCTGCTTGTTTTGACTCTTCAAGCAAAAAGGGGGGACTTTGAGGTGTGGCGGCGGCGAAGGAGCYGGCCTTTCGGGCCGACTCCATTTTCCAGAACAGAGACAAGTCCTCCGTGGCCTCCGAGTATTCTCAAGGCCATTGTTGTCCAGCAGCTGCAAATGCACTCCGCCAAGGTGAAATGCATTTACCGTGTGTCCACTCTCTCCTGTGTCTTCCAGAAAGCACATAGGACCACAAAATCTGAAAATAAAACAGATGGTGTTTTTTTTCCTTCCTCCTTCTACTCAAKAGTGAGATAAAAGGTGCTGAGATGCATTATTGATGAGTGAATAATGTGTTTGTCATGACAGATGACATTCTCTTCTCTGGAAAAACTTACACAGAAAACTGCAAAGATGCACTGGACAGTGATTTGAAGAGCCAGGGATGAACATTTATTTGTCAGTTTTGTGYTTTCTGATGTTCCAACAGCATTTTTATTTTCTTCGGGAAATTATTTGTCACTCATTTGTTTTTCATGCTTTGCTGACCAACTGGAAAGTATTTACTATATATAAAACGTTGTTTCTCTCAAACCATTTATCGAACGATTGTCTACAATAAAACAGTTTTTACTCTGCATATTAAAAACAACTCGTTTTTTTATTCGCATCTCTCTTTATATAAAAAGTTGTAAATTTATTTGATCTTCATAATATTACATTTAAAAACCCACAAGTTACATTATTTGAAATGTCTCCTTCAATGCTATCTAGGTGTTTTATATTATGTGAAAGTTTAATATTCATGTTTTGTTTTGTTTTTGTTCACAAATATTCTCAAAGTACAGGGTTTTTTTCTTTTCTCAAAACTAGAAAATGTGATGTTCCCTGTAATTTTCTGCAGGCCTTGTGTATCTTATCGGAGATGTTAAGATTTATATGGATAAGAAATAGATTT